CTTTCCGGGGTCAGAACCTCTCTTCTTGCTTCTGAAGAATTGAGGTTCTTACCCACGAAAGCTTATGCTCCCAGTACTTCTGTTAGTCTCAAAGGTGCCACAGGACCCTCTGTTGCTTTTTACAGATTCAGACTAACACGGCTACCCCTCTGATACTTGACACCAGTTTATTACAGTCTCTGTAAAAACTTGCAGGGTTTATGTTCTGAAGTGAAGAAGGGCTCTTCCATTACAGTCTCAAGAGCATCCATCAGATTTATGTTACTATTTAGAGGAGCTCTTTGGGGTTACAATATCAGGAGATGTCTGCAGGATTTATGATGGAAAAAACCCCTTTTACATTCTAACATTGAGGGGCATAAGAACCTTTGATACATCATTATTACCCATTATTTATGCACGTCCGTTGGTACACATGGTATTTTATCTACAGTATGAAATGGGCTGGATGCCTGAATCTCTGAATTCTTTACATCACTTGTATGTCAGGTATTTATCTCCATGGTTTATTAAACTTACTGTTTCACTGTTCATCTGACTCTTGTTAATGCTAACAAGTGTCCAGCTATTGCAACTCTGGATACGGAGCAAACAGGAGATTGCCATAGATGCAGATTGACTGTAACTGAACAGGCTCCCCGATCTCTAGATTAATGTGCAAATCAACCAGCTCAGGACAGCAAAGTCAGGCTTGCTCTGTGAAACACATGGCTACTCTTGCAAAGCGATTGCACTGGCCTCTATCCAATGTGACCAGCACAGCACCAGATCTCTTGGTGAGGCTGCATGCACATCACAGTACCTGACATGCAAACAGGTTCCACCATGTGAACCAAAAGGGCATCTTCGCTTTGCAAGTGGAAGGTGCTGAGCCGAGTTAGTCTTGTCTATACAGTGGAGTAACGTGCACTAGAGGTGTGATTTTTATTTAGGGTAGTGCTGTTACAGCTCTCCATTAAAGCACACTATGGAACATTTAACACACACCACCAGGATCTACACAGATCAGTTCCATCACAACACATTAGCACGCTTTAGAAATCACACTCCTGTAGTAAGCATTACTCCACTGTGTAGACAAGCCCTTTGTCTCATTTGAGGGTCATGTCCCACTTACAGCGGTTGCTGGAGCTGTGCTGAGTGGATCACTCTTTGCTTGCCTTATGGCTGAAACACTGTGCATCTCATATAGCAAATACCTATGTTCATCCAGGAAAATATCCCTGTCCACTCAATGGGTGTTGGCATTCTGAGACGAACTCTGTTCTCTGCTCTTGTCCTACCTCATTGAAAACCACTTTGGGTGGCTGTCCTGGCACAGCTTTGAGAGGTCTTGTGGTACTTTTCCATGTTCTCCCAAAGAAATGACGATACGTGATGTCAAAGAGGGACAGGCGGAGCTGGTATTCAACCTCTGACAAGCCTTCTAGCACTCTCTGGAATATAAGAATAAACACCCTAAGTAGGAGATTTAAGAGTTTCTGATCGCAGCAGCACTGAAATGTGTCTGGGAGATTAAAAACTTTGGCCTTATAAAAATGGTTCTAAACAATAGTTAGTAGATAGCTCTGAGTGTAGTCAAAAAGGAGAGGAAATACCAGGACATTTTCTTCTGACAGTTACAGTCCAATAGCTCCAACTGTATAACCCATAAACTCAGTGACGTGCCCCCATGTTCAGACAAGCAGGTCTTCTCTATGCCAGGTAGTCTCATCCTGCAATATGCAGTGTACTGATACACCAGGGAATAGCTAGCTATGAACTCAGATGCTGAGGTCATCCTACAACAGAAGGTGACTCTTTTCCCAGCAGTGAGAAATCCCAAGACTGGCAAGCAAACCTTTATGCATGTAAATGTTAAGCATCCACTTGGTTTAACATATGTGAGTAGTGGGCAAATTATGTAAAACATTTTCCAGAGACACTTGACTGAAGCACTCATTTAAAAACATTCAGTCACAGTCATGTCTCTTCTGCATTTCCTTTCTGATTATTGTTATGATTTATTATTTGTAATGCGGTAGCCTCTAGGAACCCAAATCAAGGATAAGGGTCCCATTGTGCTGGGCACAGTACAGACACATAATAATGACCGATCTTTCCCCAGATTACTTCCAATCCACATGGCAGGCAGACAAGTGCAGTGCAGGTGAACAGGAGGCAGAGGTAAGAAAATTAACAGAGTTGAGCAGGATTCACAGCTGATCGTTTGCTTAAGCAATGCAAGATGGGGGTGATCTGGGGGCTTCACAGCAGAAATACGTTTTAAGCAGGGATTTTAAAAAGGAGAAGACGTGATCCAGTTTTACTGGCACAAAATTTTACAGAATACAAATCTCAAAACTGGATTTGTGAGTATTCATGTCAGAAGTACTCGGATGCTCATCCAGTCATGGAATAGAAACAATACCATAAGGTTTTTCTGGTTAATTACAACTAATCAAGAAAGTTTATACAGCAAGTGAATCAAGTCATCACAAAAAACTTTGCAAACAATCCACAGAGTTAAATAAAATCATACAAAAAATTGTTGAATGATTTCAAACTCCCATCCCCCAAAAAACACAAATTATATTGTGGACCTATCACACTTAACCATTAACTATTTTACTTGATATAGTTCCACAATTTTTTGGCTCACTAGTATTTTGTCAATTCTCCAAAACTCTTGTAGTCCTTTACATTCATAAGAACATATGAACGGCCATACGGGTCAGACCAATGGTCAATCTAGCTCGGTGTCCTGTCTTCTGACAGTAGCCCATGCTAGATGCCTCAGAGGGAACGAAGCAATTTTTCGAGCGCTCCATCCCTTATCGCAGAGTGAAGAACAGACCACAAGTGACATTTTCCCAAGGGGATGTTTTTGGGGAGCAGGAGGGAATATCTGCTTTTGAAATTGCTCCCTCCAAGACCTATTCTGTGAACTGGAGCCTCTTTCAGACTTGAATTTCTAAAGCAAATTTTACTTAAAAGGGCTTTTTCTGAGAACTCCTGAAGTCAGTATTTGCAGGGCCGGTGCAAGGAAGTTTTGCGCCCTAGGCGAAACTTCCACCTTGCGCCACCCTCCCACCCAGCTAACCCCGCCCTCCCGCAGCAACTAACCCAGCCCCCTGCCCGGGGAGTCGTCCCCCCCTCCCCGCAGCAGCTACCCCCCCCTCCGCGGCAGCTAACCCCACCTGGGGAGACTCCCCCTGCAGCAGCTAACCCCGCCTGGGGAGCCCGCCCCAGCTCACCTCCGCTCCGCCTCCTCCACTGAGCATGCCGGCGCCACTCTAATTCTCCTCCCCTCCCAGGCTTGCGGCACCAATTGGAGGAGACTTAGAGCGGGGACTGTGTGCTCAGCGGAGGAGGCAGAGTGGAGGTGATCTGGGTAGGGAGCGGTTCCCTTTTGTGCCCCCACCCTCGTTACTGCGAGCAGCCCTCCCCATGCCCTCCACGCCCCAGCTCACCTCCACTCCACCTCCTTGCCTGAGTGGGCTTTTAGGCGCCCCCAACCACTAGGCATACTAAGCGGCCGCCTAGTTTGCCTAAATGGTTGCACCGGCCCTGAGTATTTGATAATTTTACTGTCATTGATCATGAACAAATAACTGTAGCATGCCTCACAACTAAAGAGTAATGATACGTTCTTTTCCTGTTACCAAGACAGTGGCTGTAGTGCTGAAAAGGCCTGCACTAGAGAATTTCTTTAAAACCAGAGGGATTTAAAAATATATTTGGAACTTGGTAATTGTGTAAATACATAATAATTTAATAAAAACAGTGATGGAGTTAAACAAATGTTAAAACAATTGATGTGCCACAGTTTGGGAACAATTAATGTACCATTGGTGGTATGGTATGCGAGTTTGGCATCCCATCCATTCACTTCACAGCAATTTTTTAAGACATGTGGTACATGAACCAAGAGAATAGAGTTTGGAAACTGCTAGCTACTGACATGTCTCCTAGAGATATGGACATTCTCATCAGAGTTCAAAATTAGCATGTGAAACTTGGCTGAGATTTTCAGCTCAAAACCAAGGGACACAACTCTCATTAATGCATCATGCATCCGAAGAAGTGGGCATTCACCCATGAAAGCTTATGCTCCAATACATCTGTTAGTCTTAAAGGTGCCACAGGACTCTCTCTTGCTTTTTACAACTCCCATTAATGTTACTAGAAGTGTGGCTACTTCCCTTAGTTGGTTTTGGAAATCTCACCCTGTGGCACCTTGGGCCTGGAATCAAAACAGCTGTTCTTCACAGTAACACAATGTGAAAATGCCACAGAATGCACCTGGAAAATTGTGCCAGTCTGCAGAAGACAGGGTGAAAGGTCCTTCCGCACACCTCTTGGGTCCAGCCTAAACTTCAGTAGTCACTGTGAGATTTTAAAAATTAGAACTCTACTCAAAGCAGAGAATGTCAACAAGAGAAGGGTATGAGAGCTACATTCCCACAAGGCAGATGAAATATTTCTTTACCTGCTTAATTAAATTCCCCTCAACATACTTCAGGACACACTGAAATGCTATTGATTCCCTCGGGAGATGTCGTTTCCTTTGGGAGTGTGGAGGAACAGTCAGATTTTGCACAAAAATCTTTTGCCATTCACTCATCTTGCTGCTTAGAAGGTCACCTCTTCCTCTAGGCATCTGCTACGGCGAATGTTCATCTAGAAAATAAAACTCATTTCAGAAAAAAGCATGCTCAGAACCTGTTATCTTAAAACTGGCATGAGAACACTCCAAAGCCTTTAAAAAAAGCACAGATTTACTATCCAAATTGTAACCTGATTTTAAAAAATGTTTTATTGGAATCTCCTCCACCCTCAAAGGCTCTGTGTTAATGCAACCCTCTTTCCCATCCAGATGCAGAGAGCTGGGCATGACTCTCTGGAGCCAGGCAGCACAGCTGTGAGCATCTGCCAGAAGTCACTCAAGCGCGCTGGGTGATGCTCTATTCCTTATGGGTTGAGCACTGATGGTTGAGGAATTGAGGGACGAGCTCAGTACACACCCATGAGAGAATGCTGTGGGAGGGTACAGAACAGGGAGTTGTAGGAAAGGTTGCCCACTAGTCTAGCATCAGAACCGATAATTGAGATTCTGTGCTGCACCTCCTGGAGGCATGTCACAGAAGATGCAACACGGGGCTGGGAGAACAAGGGTTGTAAAATACCCTTGGGATTCTGGGTTCCTTCAGAGATCAAAACAGCCAATGGAGTAAACGAGCAGCCACAGGGATGCTTTACTTTATGGGACGATCCACAGTCCAGAGCAGCCCAGAATCTCCACAGCAGCATGTGCTACAGAGACTTCCCAGCATGCTCTCTGTGCTGGGGCTTGTGAGGGGGGCCAGCATGGGGCTACCATGTCAGTGCTGGAGGAAGACAGACTTTTCTAAGCCCTTTGGGACAGGCACTTTATCTTCCTTTGTGTTTGCATATCACCCAGCACAGACCCGCTAAATTGACCACAGATCACTCTCCCGTCGATGCAGCAGGGTATAGACACGACAGTAAGTCGACCTAAGCTACATCAACTCCAGCTACGTTGCGTAACTTAGGTCAACTTACCTCCATAGTGTAGACAAGGCCCAAGAGAATTGTTGCTGGCTATATGCACCTGAGAAGAGAATTGTGCTTTCAGGAAAATCTCCATTCCAAACTTCCTCTTCTGGAAACTCTTTTGTGAAATGTTAAATTAACCAAAAATAGTCCCAGGAATCTACAAGAATTATTGTGAAGTTAGGCAGTTTTAAAGAAAGTAAAAGAATGTACCTTACAAGTGCTTTGAAAGTCATCCGATTATCATGTGTTCAGGTGGGAACGGCATTACTGGTATCCTAGTCTAGAAGATCAGACTGTCAAAAACAATAATAAATACATTTTATTTGTAAATTGCTTACCCCCAACGAGGGATTCAGGGCCCTGTACAACATAAAATAAAATGTCCAAAGTGGCAGCTTCCTGCAGGACTAAACATAATTTTAAAAGAATAATTAAGAGACTTTTCTGGGTGACTTACTCTTCCTAGGGACTGAGCTTTCTAAGAGAATAATTAGAGTATGTCAACTTTAGATGTCAACGAGTCCTGACTGAGCCCACAGAAACTGGATTGCTAAGATTTTGACTGCTATCACAGACACGAGCAATCCATGTTTAACACCCTTGGCAGAAATTGTGCTCTAGGTCCTTCACTCCACATAAACCTTGCTTCCATGAGCAATTTTATTCAAATTTCCCAAATCCCACCCATATAGCTTGAGTAACAATGGTGAAAGCACTAGGGTAGACAGGCTGCTAGTGACCACTGACATTTTAGTGATTGTGGTACAGTATTGCCAACCTCAAGAATTCAACAATCAGGAGTTTTAAAAAATAATAAATGTGGGGTGGGGGTGAGGAAAGGGGATATTAAGCTTTCAGGGTTCACATTTTCAAGCTTTTCTCCACTACCATCAAGGCTAGAAACCTACAGTACTTTAAAAAATATTAAAGGTAAGATTTTCATGTAATCACATAATCTAGGATCTGGGGCTTTCAGGAAGACATCAAATATTGTGAGGCTTGTGAAAAATTATGAGAGTTGGCAACCCTGGCTGTGTCATCTTTCTTTGAATATGGTCGGATGACACAGACATTAACATGACAGCGTCTGGTCTATCCTTATCTTCCTACCACCACTGGAGTTTCACCAGAGCTAAACCAACAGTAGGAACATACAAGAAAATTGCCTGTGCAGATGCAGCTAATAGCATCTATCACAACTTCTGTAATGAGTGTTGGGAAAAGTTTGAGGCTGTCTACATTAACAGCTGAACTGTTTTCAGTCCCAGATAAGGAGGACTCATTGTTGACCTCCATGGCACCATTCTCATGTTTAAAGTGAAGCACAGCTTTGCTTACCAGTTCTGAATCCTGTGGGGTGCAACTCCCACAGTCTCATTTTAGTATTAAAAAGCCACCATGAACCAAACTGGGAAAGAAAAAGCCCCACCTACTGGTGGGAAAATCAGAGATGTGAGTCACAAGGGGGTTCACTGAAGTATTGTCCTTGTTTTACCTCTCACTGCTTTGCACCATAGAATCATAGAAATGTAGACAGGTCATCCACCCCAGCCCACTGGGCTGAGACAGGACCAAGTATTCGTAAACCATCCCTGACAGATCTAACCTGTTCTTAAAAACATTCAGTGACGGGGATTCCACAACCTCCCTTGGAAGCCTGTTCCAGAGCTTAAATCCCCTGAGAGTTACAAAAGTTTTTCCTAATATCTATCCTAAATCTCCCTTGCTGAAGATTATGCTGATTTCTTCTTGTCCTACCTTCAGTGGACATGAAGAAACACTCCTCTTTATTAACAATCCTTAATGTATTTGAAGACTATTTATCAGGTTCCCCCCCACTCAGTCTTTTTTCTCAAGACTAATCATGCCCATTTTTTTAACTTTTTCTGATAGGTCAGATTTTCTAAACCTTTTGATAATTTTTGTTGCTCTCCTTTGGACTCTCTCAAATTTGTCCACATCGTTCTTAAAGTGCAGTGCCCAGAACTGGACACACTACTTCAGTTGAGGTCTCACCAGTGCTGAGCAGAAAAGGTCAATTACCGCTCATGTCTTACATACGACACACCTGGCAATGCTGGCTGGGATGATTTAGCTGGGAATTGGTCCTGCTTTGAGCAGGGGGTTGGACTAGATGACCTCTTGAGGTCCCTTCCAACCCTGATATTCTATGATTCTAATGCACCACACAATTACATTAGCCTTTTTTGCAACGGCATCACATGGTTGGCTCATACTGAATTTGTGATCCATTATAGCCCCCAGCTCCTTTTCTGTAGCAATATTGCCTAGCCAGTTATTCTCCATTTTGTGTTGGATTTTTCCTTCCTAAGTGAAATACTTTGCCCTTCTTTACTGACTTTCACCTGGTCGATTTCAGGCCAATTCTCCCCTGAAAGTCCAATTTAAACAAAGACACAACTCAACCCCAACATTTCACATTTGCCACCCAGGTCCC